ACGTGAACGAAAGGACTTCTTCAGGCGTACTGCGAAATCCACCGCATGGTACTATGCGAATGCGAATCAAATTAAGAGAACTGCAGTTAGCTGATGTTAGCTGGACATTTCGTGCATAGTAGCCTCCATCATATCATCGTCTTAAGAGCATGTTTGACCCCGATGTTGCAGTAAGGAGTTGTTGAGTGTTAAAGACAACAAGGGGTACGGAGAAGTGATCATATAATTTACCCAATATAATTATGACGCAATGGATTGCAGCAGAGAGCAAAGGAGCATAAAGCAGTGCAAAGATGTGAATCGAGAGCATCATGTCAACCTGCTTGAAGAATGCTGCGTACTTCCTTATTTGGAAACACCATGACAATGGTACTTCACAACTACTGCCAAGATATGCCAATATCTTCAACATCTCCCCCAGGTCATTGCAAAATGTCTATCCATTGTAAACGAACAAAACTGCTGCATCATATCCGAATACTTTGCGGTCCCTTTCGGCCCATCTTTTAACAATCACATCGGGCGCGGCCAGTCCACGGATCGCGCACCAGAAGCGCAACGAGTAGTAGTCAAAGGAGCCTCAAGCAAGTGCAGGTAACAGAACAGGAGTGAGATATTCTCGCTGTAGTCCCTTCCCTTTCACAGTGATACACATTTAATTAGATTCAACGCGTTTCAAATCTTTTCTATGGATGACTGATGACTTTCAAGTCTGCATATCCCTGGAACCCGAACATACCAGCACCAAAAGCAATGCAAAGTTTGTGATACCTTTGATTGTGGGTACAAATTTGGTGATCAGCAGTCTCTCTAAGACTTCAACACTAACAGTCACTAACACCAGTGGACAATGACATGTCCCAATTGGGCCCTGGCTGCGCATCCGCGTTGCAGGAGGCACCCAGTGAACCTTCGGCAAATCTCTGGCACCCCTCACAATAATGACACTACGTATGTGTTTAAATTTTACGTATTATGCTTAGGTTAACTACATTTAAAGTCATGTAAATATACGGATTTTCAATGATTTTTAAATACACGCGCTGGATCGCGCTGGTATTTTAGATTTCCTCCGGGAAGCTTTTACTTGGCCTGCCCGGCCATTTAAACATACGGAATCCAATCTGTTTACACATATACATACATTTAAATATACGGATGGAACTTGTGTTTCATACTACCTCCAAGGCCTCGCGGTCTGGCCCGCCCTCCATATTTAAATGTCGTTACCATACTGCATATAATCATATATAATCTATCCTGGTTCTTAAATCTCCTCTGGGTAGGAGGTCTAAACTGCACAGTGGAAACATCTGAGGCCTGTCCGGGTCACCTTCCATTGTACTCCACGGGTGAATCAGAGCCAATCTCTATCCTGACAAATTCTCCTTTAATGAAAGATCACACATATCATATAGCCATATATAATTATAGCCATGAGGTTCCCTTTTGAAACGGTTTTGGGTTCCTTGCCAGCAGTGGCAAGCTACATTTTCCACTGGGTTTCAACGTATCAGGGGTCACCTCAAGGTTCGCCCACTTTCAGGGCATCCTGTCAGGCCACTGCAGGCAAGCGGCAAATACGCAGGAGACGCGAAAGGAGCAAGGACCTAAGGAGCTGTCTCTGTTGATTGGTGTAGGGATGTGTAATGTGTGGCTAGAAACTAGGAAGATTTGGAAAGGTATATAGCCACTGAAACATGTTGGATAATCGATGTATCGCCATCTCAGCAAACCGGGGACCCTGCAACACCAACATTGCCTATTTCCTTGGGATTGCCCCTCAGATGCAGCATTGCATGAAGATATCTTTGGATTTGATCATTCAAATTGCGGGAATGTCAGGTAAATACTGCTAACCCTAAGTGGCCCGGTGAAGGGAAACAACCACTCAATATCACTCAAAAAATGCTGACAGTTTCTTTCTTGGGCTGCTTACATGAGTTACACGAGTCACATATCGTCGAAACTCTGGATCGGAAAGAGCATGTGAAAAGAAGCGTTGCCAGAGTTCTGCTACTTCAAGCTCCTTCTGTGTGAAAGACTACAATCCCATCAAGCAGGTAAAAAAACAAACAAAGACCACTGTAACTAAAAAAAAACAACAGGAAAAATCACATGAAAGCCGTCGTCTCCTCAAGCTCCTCTGGGGCTTGGAGCCAATGAGGGCACCACGGCTCTTGCCAGAACCTCAGGTGGTCCCATGGATGCAAGGTCATCACTTGGGTAACGGAAACAATTATAGTCTTTGGAATTCTTGGGATCACCAAAACCTTCTCTGCAAAGCATGACATCACGTAACATCAATAATCAATACGGTGACTGCAGCCACCGGAAAACAACATAACAAGCACGCCAGCAGCGCTTGAATGCGCCTGGCAGAAGGCGCTGGTGGAAGCATCGCTGCCAAGGGACACGTGTCACATCGAATGGGTACACCAACGGCACTAATCATTCTTTGGAAGACAGGTATTGGACCGGATTGATCTTAATCATCTTCACATTTGTAGGTTCCGGTGGAGGCATGCGGCATGCCTACAGAGTTTCCTGTACATTTCTTGTTGAGCAAACCAATCAATCAATTGCAACTTTAGCAAAACCCCAACAAGATACGTCCAGCAAGTCCCCGGAGTGCGAGTGTGCCTCATTGCAATGTCGCTCCTGATACAACCCCCTGCTATTGCATCCCAATGGTTACGTTGCATACATCCCCAACTTCACACTGTGGAATCACTGTGGAATTCAGAACAAATCCATCAGCTTGCATTCAACCTGAGCAATCACAAACGGCTCAGCTTTCCTTTTCCATAACCTTTGAACAGGGCATTGCACAGTGTCATTGTTGAGGAAAAACCACTCTGACCATCTCTGACCCACGTCTTGTTCTGCAGGCGAAACTATGAGTGAATAATAAGCGCTAGCAGGGATGTACTTTCTCTGATGCACCATGAACTTTGCCCCACACCCTTCGCCATGACAAGTCCTTGACAGCTGGCGGCGAACCCGGGTAGCCCTTCTGCTTCCCCAAGTCTTTGAAAATGTGCTGTTCAGGGTGGGCCAGGGTGGGCTGTTCACTTCTTGGGATGAGACAGTGTATGCCATACTTCTGAATCTTCACATTGTTTCCTTTGAGCCGGGAGCTGACAAAATTCCACGGGTGGACAGAGCGAGTCGCCAAGCAAAACGCCAAACACCAGGAGGAACTGAGCTTAGAAATTGCCTCAGAGCTGTGACTATTGAAGCATCCAGTGCCTGGCAGTTTTGAAACACATTTTTATACTTGAATCACTTGTCTTGCTTTTCATATTATATAATACTATATAATAATATATAATATTATATTACTATATATATAATATAAACCCATTACCTTGGACCCGGGATCAAGGCGTGTATGAAAGGAAACTTCTTTCAAGCGGAATAGGGGCTTTGGAAATCGGAATTGTGGTGCCCACTGCCTGGCCTTCCACACGAACTAAGAACGGAGAAATCTTCTGAAAACTGGAAAGAAATAGCTTCGATTTCAATATATTTCAATCACTTTGATCCACCCATATCCACCGACAAATCCCACAATAAGACCTTTTGCTCCCAACCACCTAGGCAGATCTGGGCAGTATCTCCCTTTATTTGCGACTTCTTTCGGCTGGGGATGGGCAAACCTCGACTTCGGCATCTTTCGCAGGCTGGGAGCCAGCCTCCGCTGAGCTGATGGGTCTCGCATCAAAGCTGAGCAATGCCATTTGGCCGGATATATCACTTATATATATATATAATGGGGTATATAATGGCAATGGGGTGTATATATATATATATATTATATATCACTGATATGCCTAAATTAATCTGGCAGTATTTAACAGTGTACAGTGTGCATCTTGTATAAATAATTGTGACCGTAGACCACTCTCACCCACTTGCATACCTCAGAACAAGAAAGAGAAACTGCCAACAAAAAACGTTGCCAGGATGGCAATCTTGGTACCTCAAGGCAAATACAGACATTCCACGAAGCTTTCAAAACACAAAGACCTGGTCCCAACGTTCAAACAAAAACTAGCCATGCAGCTACTCAAGACACTGAAGTCCGCCAGCATGCAATTCTTTCGATTTCTTTGGTAGCTGTCTCCCCGTGCTGCAATTTCATGCCCCTTTTTGATAGCATATCCATGGCGATCGTCCGAGACAGCTGCTAAATGCTGCCATCCACAGCTGCGATCATGTGGTGGCAGGTTCTTCAAGAACCCAGGATCTGACTTTGGCATACAAGAACACATGACGAAATATCTTGAAATGACCTACATTAGGACCAATCAACATGATAATCAAAACTATGTGACAATTTGCTCACGATCGCATAATACATCATAATACAATGTGTGTATTTGTTTGCAGAATCATGTCAGGCAATTGATCAATACATGTGCTGATCCGTGTGTTTTCATCGGTCGTAATCTGCAGGTATATCTAAAGCAGTGGTATGTACCCAGCATTGTCTGATAAAGATAATGTTTAAATTCATATGGGATCTTGAATGACGCCTGGAATACAATATCTTTGCAAAACCTTCTGTTGCATCCTCATGTGGGCTTACACATCGTGTTCCGAGCGGCTGAGCATCATGACCTGCACAGCCAGATCTCTGGGAAGTTTTTGATCAACTGCCCCCAACCACTGGGCGGCGACACATACTGATGGAAGCAACAGGCACTCGGGAGGTCAAATCAAGGTACTATAGCTTAGAACACATGCTAATTACTCGACAAGAGGCTTTTCATCATTGGCTCAAGGCTTGCATTTTTGTTTGCTTCCAATTCACAGAGACACTTGAAGACCAAATGGTTGGGCATGCTTAGCCCATTTCTGATTGTCTCTGACTGCAGGCAAACCGGTGACAATTTGAGGCTGAGCAAACAAACAACTGGCACAAGAGATTACTCCTGATTCTGACAACTGCATCTACATTTCGGAATGTCTGTTTTGAGTCATGTAATTAGTGAGAGCACTGAATTCCCTCAAATTGAAGGAAAGACATGGAGGGAGCGACACTCAGTATGGTGCATAGCCTTTGCCACAGCCGCCCTTTCCTCCGCATCCCTTGCCAAATCCTTTATCTCCAAAGCCTTTTCCTCCATCCCAGCCCTTACCACCATCCCAGCCCTTGCCACCATCCCAGCCTTTGCCGCCCCAACCCTTTCCACCATCCCATCCTTTGCCACCCCACCCTTTGCCATCGTCAAAACCTTTGCCATCACTCCAGCCATCGCCACCCCAGCCATTGCCACCCCATCCCTTCCCATCTGAAAATCCCTTGCCGTCATCCCACTTGCCATTTCCCCAGTTTGATGCTTCTGCAGGTGGGAACATCCCGCCCTTTCCAAAGTCTGGTCCTTTGCCCATCCCATACGCTTGCCCTGGTGGCTGAGGGGGTCCTGCTTTCGTCATGCCCATGTTTCCAGCTCCCCCTGTGAGATCTGGGAATGTGGGGGCGCCTGGAGCAGGTCCCCCTCCTGTAAGATCTGGGAAGGCCGGGGGTGGAGGACCCAGCTCCGGGAAAGTTGGCTGTCCTGGACCAGGTCCACCGGGTCCACATCCACCAGGTGGCATGCCCCCATCCATAGGAGGCATCTGTGTCATGGGCATTGAAGCCATGGGATCTGGCATGGCACCTGGTGGCAAAGCACCAGGCTGCGGCGGGAACGCTTCAGCCCCGGGCAGAGGAGCTGTGGCTCCGGCATCGAAACCTCAGGGGTGAGAGAATCCACTGTGAACAAAATGCTGAAATGCTCTAAATCTGTAGTCAAATCATCACGAACCATCACAACGCATCCACATCTAACATCATGGAACCCATCCAACTCCACCCAAATCCGAAGAAACAAAATCAGTTGACCCAAACATTGGACACAAATCTGGCCGCACCTGCTGCCAATGCCTGCGGATCTTGCCCTGGCATCGTTCCGGGTGGCAAGGGCGCCGTCCCGGCTGCGCCATCGGGAGGAAGCATACCAGCAGCTGCGGCTGGATCGGTGGGAGCCTGTGCTGGGTGCTGAGGCCTGGGTACTGCAGTTTACTAAGTTTACGAGATTTCATTAGATTTCACAGCAGGAAGGTGAACAGCTAGATATTTTCAAAGGAAAGATGGTGCTCCAGGTTCAATCTATATGGACGTGATCTGGTCTAGACATTGCAAGTGACAATGGCTGATCCTTCTGGAAGCAGTCCTGTGCAAGAAGAAGTACAAGAAACGACTCAATTTACAACAACCAAAGTAAGTAAACAAAACACCACTCGATGTATTTGAGATTCATTTGAGGGTATTCCAGACACTGCTGCAAGTCCTACCTGCAGCTGTGCCGCCAGCTGCTGCGCTGCCACTTGCTGTGCTGCGAGCCTACAATGTTGGAGGAAAGAACAGCCCGTTTAGTAGAATAAACATGGAATAAGTATCTGAAATTATCAGAAAATATGTCAATACCGTGTTCAAATGCCGTCCTGCAGCTGGGAAATTGAGTATTCGGAGAAATATCTGGCTTCTTGCAGAAACGGTTAACAGTCCGAACAGCTTAGTAGTTTTGCTTTGATTCGAATCATAAACATCATTTTCACAAATATGTACGAAGTATGTTCCACCAATAGCTTTCAACAAATTGACTCAGACATGCAGCTTTGACTAAGCCAAGCATCTGCTGATAGTAGAGGCTGATGGCCAATTGCTGCTGTTGCGCAGCTGCTGCCAACCTAAGTAGTTCTCCAACCCTTCCATCAAGACCTAACTTTCCGTCTCTCCATGAGGGAAAGCGGGTAAATCGAAACGATAACAAGCACACTCAAACCATGGAATGATTTTGTACACCTTCAACAATCCTTACCATACTTCCTTGTCAGTCCACCCTGTACCATTCAAATGTAATGCATTGTAATGCTATAGCCACTTGCCAGGATGATACACCCAGCTTTTCCTAACCTCAAAGAAATGCACTGGACTCTCAATTTTGAAGCCCTGAGCGACCACGAACCATGAACCGCTCATGTCCAGATTCTTTCATTTGAACTTTGTCAACCAGCAAAGCACATACCAAAGCACGGCCTGACAACTCTAGCTTCAGACCAGCTCTGGGTAGGATTACATGCAATTCTTTACATCACCTTTCGAGAGGGTTCACCCCACCACAACATATTTTGTTTACTCACGAACAACCCATGTTGAACCACCAAAATTCAAACGGAGACCATCTAAGCACCCCCCTTTTCCTGTCATCATATTCTGAATGACATGTTTTTTTTAGGGTTGTGTTACCATGTTTACCAATCATCATCTCCATACTGGTCAGTTTTACATCTCCCATACGTTCGTTGTTTTTAAGTTTAAATCCCCGGATCACAGCAATTTTTGTCCCACACTGATCCACATAATATCATGCGATTATGAAGTATATTATATAATATTATATATGAGATACCTATCATGTTGGTATCATAGGGTCAACAAATCATAATACAGTAACAATAATATAATGAATGTGACATTGTATATCTATATATTAATGCATTGTATTTTGATTTTTTCCATTCTTGTACCCATCCCACATGGACGCCACGTGGCTGTGCGGCGGCAATCTGCGACGCGGCTGCCGAGGAGGCTGCGTCCAACCCCCCGCCCGCCACGCCGGCCAGGCCAGGGATGCCTATGGTTGGGAAATCAAAGTGTTGAAGTACCTGTTTCAGTATCTGTGAAAATATTTTTTGTTGAATTATATGCAATGTGATATGTATTTTATGTATATATATAATGTATATATATATATATCGGTTGAAGTACAGTATCTGTTGAAGTGTGTTGAAGTACATGATTGTGAACCCTGAAGTGCAACTGGGAGGATTCTTGAGGATGAGAGTAGCAAGCGGGATCTGGGGTGATGGACACCCCCTTGGGAGGGAGCCTGCTGGGAGGCGGGCACAATATGCAAATTCCATCGTACTGTCTGAGTTCACTGCGTACCCTAAAACTCTATGAACAACCGATGGAATTCACTGAGCTCTGGTAGCAACTTGATGTCCCCACCGAGCATGTGCCTCTCCATATAAAGGACACCCGACACTTTCATCATACAAAGCTCGTGCCTAGTTGCTTCTGTGGGTTCTGGACTAAATTGAAACTATTGATGCGAAGGGTAGGAGAGTTATGACTTGGCTTAACAATCACATCAGCAGCACCAGCAAGGATGAGCACTGCCAGCTCACCAACATTTCCTATAAACTGAGCAGCCTTCCTTGCATCTGAAGTTGCCAAACTGGCACTGTACACTTTGCTTACATCCAACAGACCACCTCCGTCGTCTTCAACGATCCTACAAGCTCTCCCTCTCTCTCTCTACCTCTCTCTCTCTCTCTCATCTCAAGTCTTTTGTTTGACAAAGAGCCTCTCTAAGGTGCAAGTCTTCAAGGTTTCACAATGAAAATGACTTAGCCGATCTTGGCTGCTTATGTCAGGTTGACATTGCTATGAGTAGCTCAAGTGAAAGTACATGGAAGTCCATACGCATGTTCGGTCATGAGACATGATTGAAGGCAGTATATAATCAACACACTGATTTTCTTGGCAGGTACCTAGACCATCCCAGACCTATTCAACTTTCACCCCGTAGCTCTTTCGCGAGCCGACCTAAAAGCATGCTTTAGTACACAGCCATCTACATTAATATACAGTACTGTTACAGCACATTAATCAGGTTGAAAGCAAAGTAGTCTACGCCAAAGCTTGTGCCAAGGTATAATCCTGAACCGCCCCCCTGCGGAAGAAACGGCCACTACATCCCCGGGATGTTTATCAACGGGCCCCGGGTTTCGGGATAACCGGAAGCCTGCGAGTGAATTTCCGATCACCTGGCGAGTCACCCGGCAAGTCCCGTGGGTTGTGAATTTCTAATTACAAAATGCCCAGGCCCAAGATGCCACCAATGGGACCAAGTGCCACCCTAGATCTTCCATATAGCATTTCGGACATTTTATCATCAGGTCTGGCCGAAATGCTACACATTCGAAGATCCAGGGAAGTATTATCACAACCCCTACCACTTGGTCATTCGGAAACCTCAAAGATCACTGAATCAGCTGTCTGCTTTTTGGCCATCACGTCAAGGAAATCTGGCTCGCTCTCCATTGTCAAGTTCGAGAAATTGTCCTCCCGCCATGGTTCACACTTGGCCGGCACCACACATTTGGCGGGATGCCATTTGGCATTTGGAGCTCCAGGATCTTCACATCTCCATGGGACGGATTGCATATGCCTTCCCCAACATGCACCTGGATATTTGTGATCCAAAACAAGGGAAGGCGGCTTGTGCTCCCTGCGAGGAACAGTCACCAAATTATATAGAGTAAAACAAGAAATGTGTGAGCGACATTCCCAATATATATATATATATTCCCACACGTGGAAATTGCTATTTGTGGGTTGGATAATGTTGGATAAACACAGTATTTACTGTAATACCTAATATCATATTGAATTTCTTATGCACCTGACAATATGTCTGTGTAAGATAGTGTTGCACGAAAAATAATGGTTGGACTAGCCACTACTGAGAAAATAGCATCCGTTCTGATCACCTGTGTGCAAAAAAATGTATTCTATAGTCCTTGGATGTCTTTGGTCGAAGTCTATCAATGTCTATCATACCCATAGGATCCATGTATGGTATATATGCTAACATTTTACCATCAATATACCCCAGTCATGTTAGCATTAATATACCATACATGGATCCTATGGGATATAATGGGCCCGATGTGAGAAAGTGACCAGGAAAGTGACCAGTCTGACGCCTAACCGGTGCCTTGGTCCCAGGATCCGTTGTGAATCCGCTGAGCACCTGACCGGATCGATTTTTGGCCATGATCTTCGCCTAGGCATCGTGACATCGTGAAGCCCGGTGCCACAATGGTGCCACCATCGCATGCGACAATACCACGACCAACTCACAAATCTATCATAATCTAATCTATTCTATCTATGTGCACAAATCCGAATCTGGCAAAATCTGGATTTGGATGATTTGGAACCCGGGTGTGGCAAGAAAAACGATTGCGAGCCGAGTGGCCCAAATCTCCTCCGGCGTGCCTTGCATATCCCGCGAAGACAGCCCGGCGTTGTGAGAAGAGTCTGGCGCCAGCAATTTTCAGCAGTGCTCTAACCGTGGACACAAATTACAGTGCAGGGCTTCTGAGGATTCTTTGAGGACAAATCTGGGCAAAACACAATCAAAAGAGTCACTTCTAGTCTAGTACCAGCCATTTGGCGCTTCTTCCGATGCGCCAAGACCCATTGGACGTGTTGTACTCAAACATGAGGTCAAATATCAATCATCCATATTCTGCGAGGACTTCACCAAAGAGGTAAACAAAAAAAGGAAGCAAAAGATCTTGTTTTGCAATCTCAACACATCTAAACACCCAACATTTTCCAATTGTCATGTTTTCATCATTTTCCATCTACCTTTTCTCAAGCTGCCCGAGGCACTGCATGGTTGAAATGTTCACAAATTTTCAGCTCCATCCCACGAACAGTATCGAACAGTCAAGGAACGGCCAGCTGAGCCGTTGATACGAACCATGAGTGCTGCTGAGGGGTTCTTGCAATCCTTAGAGGACAAGATAGGACAAGCCTGAAGTTCTCGCTGATAATCGGTTGGATTAAAAAAACATTAAAAAAACAAACATTCACAGTGTATATGTGAAAGTGTGCAGTGATATGCTATCCGAATTCCTCGTTTTGCCTACCATAAGACTCCATTCGGGACCTCTCAAAACAGAACTGGCAGCTCAAACGGCTTTTTAATTGGATTCTCTGCCTGCTATCCGCTTCAAGGGAAATTTCTCAGCAAATTCTTGCCACTGCAAGTCACAACTGTTCATGGCTCTTGACCATCACAATATCTTAAAACAATTTTCTGCTGATTTGTACTCATGCCTGTCTCCCGACTAAGGAACTGATAGTGAGCCACGCTCCATGGCCTTCGCAGCTGCCACAATGCTGAGTGCACACTGGCACACATGCATACTGTATCAGCTTCCTGGTGGTATACGTGTTTAATGCATACTGCAAGCACACCAATTGCGACCTTCGAATTTGCACAGTTGTTTATCATATTCCGTCGGTTGATCCACTATAATCAATATATATTATATATATATTGATTAGTCAAATTAGTTTGTGTATGTATGTAATATATTTTATTTTTTAATGTATTTTGTACGTTATATATATAAATAATATAATAACTATAATATATATATACATTATATATAATTATATTACAGTAAGTAGACCTGATCGAAACCCATCGTTGTTTCAAGTTGATCTCATCAATAGTACGTAATTTCATGGATACGGCAGCTTTTCTGTTTCAGTTTCAGTTTGGGCTTTCATGTAATGCAAAGTGCTCGCAGTTGACACCTCTGTCCCAAACTAACACTTCACCCAGTATCCTGTTGTTTGAACAACGTAGGCTATCATGGTATATCATGGTACTGTATATCAATGGTATATCATGGTAGATCAATGGTATATCATGGTCTATCGATGGAAAACAAATTGTACATCATGGTACATGATAGTATATCTGCCTCAGTTAAACTACGCCAATTTGTTGGACCCTGCCTGCAGCTGAACCTCCGGTGACGCATTGCGCAAGGCGGAGGACGCACGTTCCTCGGGGCATTATAGCGAATGGCGTAGGGCGCTGTTCACTACTGCGCGTCGTGTTTTTCTTTACTTTCTCTTTGAAGGAATCACAAACCTTCACCGCAAGTCACCTCTCAAGTACAGAAAGTTGTCCATATGATAATTTTTACCTTCATTAATGGTGAATATTGTGATTTAAACATATTTAAACAAACTGTTCTCACAATCTCAACAATTCTTGGAGCTAAAATGACCAAAAATCACTCTCCCCACAATCCACCCTGCATAAAACCGTCTCGACACCATTGGAAATCATGAGCAAACTTGGATACAGGCTGAGGCAAAATGCGCTGAGCACAGCGTCAAAGTCACTGGTAAGCGGCAAACGTCTCACTTACGACTGTCACATTGTCTCACTTGTACAGTAAATGTCCTGTTTCTTTGGACTGGGTGCGGTGGGGTGGGGCTATAACGTTCACTGGGACTTCACACACAGGTTGGTAGCTGGCCTGTGATGATGATGATGATGATGATGATGATGATGATGATGATGATGATGATGAACATGTTGTAAATGATGTTGATGATTTTGTTGATGTTGTTGATGATTATAATGGAAATCAATGCACATCTTATGTACATAAACTGTTGAAGCTGATGGTGATGAGATCATGGTGATCAGGATGATAATCGTGAACATGACCAGAAGATGATGATGTTGGATGATGTTGGTTATCAAAATGATTCTGATGGATTATGATGGATTGAGGCAGTTATAAGCGAGACAAAACAACAGTCACAAGCGAGATACCGCGCCTGGTTACATATCTGTGTTCGTTCTGACCTCTGACACTCCGGTGTTCCCATACCTTCCAATCATCCGTCCATCATTGGTTCCAGGTTCGTCCACAGGATTCTCTGCCAAGAACTTCTCAACCGCAGCTGCAGCGGACGTCATGTTGGCGATCGGCTGCAGCAAATGCCCAGGCAGCTCCAAGATCGGATCAAGGCTGAAGGGACACAACCACCACAAGGCTTTCGTGTGGCTTCGACTTCAACTTCAGCATGTGTTTCTTGATGTTTCTTGATGTTTCTTGATGTTTCTTGATGTTTCTTGATGTTTCTTGCGCCGTAGTGATCACCTCATTACACTACTCCTGCCTTCAAAACCACGGCAGAGTGTCAATGACTTATCGTGTGACTTGTTGCACAAAGGTACAAAGCATCTGAATAGTGCAGGCCAACTGCGCACTTAAATAAAACAACGTGGAAGAACATGAAGCTTGCCTGTTCTCAAGTAATTCTATGCATCTGATCCCTTCCCAAGGACAACTAGAGATGCACTGCGCAGTTGGCTCTGGCTCTGGGCTCTTTTTTCCTGAAACTCACCGGTGGTGCAGCTTTGAACCAGTATGCCACGGTGTAAATCACCAGCTCGTTCAAAGACTTACACTCAGCCTTTGTAGGTTTAATAAGGGAAAAACAAAAGCCTCATCAGAAACGAAACAGTTGTTTCACCAACAAAAACAACAGCCTGACTTGTGGGAAACACATGCATGTACCAGCTTTGAAGAATATCATGTGTGGATATAAGCTGAACTTCGGGGTCTTGACATGGCCAAAGAAACTCGATCAACATCCATTGTATGAACATCATCCGAAGTGAAGCATCAACTCACATGTGAAGCAACGCATGATGGTCGAGAAAAAATGGGGTCCATCGTCAAAGGTCATGTCTATCAGTTCTATCACACATTAACACACACAAAGCACCACATTTTGGACATCCAGCCCGAATCTTCTGGCCTGTGCTGTTTCAGCCTCACCCTCAGACCTGGTACTAGGGAGAATTCGGGAGAACTTGATAAGTATCTAACAGCAAGAGACTATTCTTGCGGATTCTTGCATATTGATGTAGTTGATAATGTTGGAAGATGTTGGAAGATGTTGGAAGATTGGTCTGAAACCAGGGAAAATTAACAGCTTGACACGGGGCAGCTCCACGAACGAATCACAAGTCACAAGTCCCTCTCTGATATTCCATCTAGCCAATTTTGCCAATGTGAGTAATTACAGAAATGGCACTGTACTTCTCGAGCGGACACTGCCATGTCAAATGTGGTTGCAAATGGCTGTGCACCTTGCACTTGTCTGAGCCTCTTCTGGCTGGTTCTCAACCTCGTGTGGACGCGCCCAACATCAAAATTCTCAAAATCCACAATGCAGTGGGCAGATTGAGAAATATGTTTTTTTGACAGACTGGCATGGCCAAATACAACTGTGTGGACACAGCATCCAGCAGTCAAATATCAACGCGTCATTTTCATGGAAACTCACTACCCATCTGCGGTTTTGTTGCACGATTTGTTCCGTCCCCTGAGTGGTGTACCCAGGTTGAGATGCGGGTCTTGTCCACTCGGTACCTTTGCCACCGGCAGCAGCAAGTCACACGTATATACATACACAATCAGGATCAATCATGCATATATATATATAATTTATATAATATATACATATAAAGATCATACCAGTATGTCAATCAACACATCCAAAGATGTTAAATCGTATCATTAGGTATGTGAGATGCAAAAACTAATTTCACAGACCTAAAATGCATAAGCTACATAACCTTTGTGGAAAAAACAAACTATCCATCAAGCAGATTCAAATCTTGCCTCACCAAACCTCAGGGCACTTCCATCGCTGGTAGATGTAGATAAAGAAAATGATGTCGTCTCGGAAGCATGCCAACCTGCCATAGCTGCCATAGCTACCATAGCACCAAACGTGGAGATCTATGTCATGCTGTGCAACCTGCAGCTCCAGAAATAACTTGCATTCCCAAGGGACAGGTCACGATCTTAAACACGTGCTTTCCGAATGTAATTATTCATCAAATCAGATCAAATCACTAGTTCCCAAAAGCATATAAAACATTTTAAAACTGTTGCCTTTAAAATCTTTAAACAAGTAAGAGTAATGCACACTTGTCACGATGGAACTAACATCTTCCTTTTGGCAGTACAACTTTTGCACAAAGCAGTAAAACCCTTCTTTTGGACAACTTCGAAACAATTTCAAAGGCTGAGAGGCTGAGACTTTTTTCCTGGCTACTGAAAACCTCAGCGCTAACTAAGTCTTCTTGATGCTCTTCTTCACACCTTTTGCTGCTGGCTTCCCAACTCCCTGGCGCCAGGAACGACGCGCAACTGGGCTCCATGCCGTTGATATTTCAAACAATCTCACGACATCTCAGGACAACTGAACCGCTGCAAGCTGCAAGTATATTATAAGTATCACCAAACACATAACCCCCAAAAAATGTCGGGTCTGGTGTCTGGTACAATATTTGCGAATCTTACTTGAGCAATCCCTATTACTTCTATTCAATCCCGTCCACACAATTCAACAAATCCAAACAAAGACACATGGTTCAATGCAAGAATGAAGACCCATGACTACCCACCACTTTTTGCTGAGGCATGCTGAGGCTATAGCCACATCCACTCTGCCCCTCTCCTTCTCAGGTTTGGTGCTGGAAGGCGCGGCCAACTTTTGATGGGCCCACAAAGCTCTGGCCACCTGAGCGACGCTCATTGCTATGCCATCTATGCTGCTATGTTTCACCTGTCATGACAAGAGTTGCTCACCTTTTGAAATGTTTTTTTTGGTGAGTTGAGGCGCTAGTCATGCTAGTGGCAATGAATTCAAAATAATCAATTGATGCATTCCCAAATGTAGAAACGTAGGGGAAACAATACAGCAAACTATCATCAAGGTGTCTCTGATGCATCACGCTGCGACGCTGCGCTCTTCTGACCTGCTCGGCGGTCCAATGGCCACCCAACTCGACAGCTTTTGAAATCACCTCTGGTGGCGAGATGGGTCTGGGGATGGGGCCACAATCATCACAATCCATATTGATCCATATTGATCCATATTGATCATTATTGATCATTATTGATCATTATTGATCCATATTGTAGATGCAAACATGGTGTTTGAGTGGTCTGTTTCAAACATGGCCAGTACAAATCTAGGTCTACTTTGTACAGATTGCGAACTGGCGTGTAGTGGAACCTTAAACAGTGAAGTTCAGCATCAAGTCAGTCAAAGAAGTCTAGTCAAACATCAAATGTGCTGCAACCGATTCAAGCTGCATTTGAATTGATGGATACAACCCCAACATGTTTTTGATGTCTCTACAAGTCCGAACATTCCTAACCATGCTGACAACCGGTAACAGGCATTGACAAGTGCAAGAATTCTCCAGGTCACCATCGAATTAAAACGCGTATACGTCGCCATGTCGTACCTGGACAGAGAAGGATGTCCGTGCCATCGGAAGCTGACACTGGGTCACTGGGCAATGTCAAGATGGTCTCCCCAGAGAATCCCATAATGACAAAAAAAAGCACTTGGAACATCTTGGAACCATCCCAACACATCAATATAGTTTGACTGTTTGCTTAATCTTGCCGACATTATCTTTTAATAAAAGATTATAACAGCATATAACAGCAACCAAGTACCACCAAAGACTAGATCAAGAATAAGAAAACCAAACAAAGTGTCCAAATTCAATTCAAGGCAAACCATCACCAAATATCACGAGTCAGCACAATGCATGACTAGTAGCTTGATGAAGAAGTCTGACTATGAGAAACATCTATGAACACATCCACCAAGACTTTTGAGGCGTCCAATCATTTCATATAATTTCTGAATATGAACAATTGGGAACATATGATAATATATGAACGCATAAACTAGATTATAAAAATAAAGAGTACAGCCAGTACAGCATAGTATAGCCGCATAGCCATAATGTATAGCCTGAAGCAAAGTCACAGTGAAAACTGCCGAGTTACTTAATGTCCGAGGCCTTCTTGACAAGGCCAGAGCCTAGGACAGCCTGATCCAAACACGAGTTCCATGAAGCAAGAGTGCAGCCCAAGTCAACAGTCGGCACATGAGAATTCAACAACAGGTCCACACTATTATATCAAATGGTCATACTCCTACCTGTAGAATATGAAATAAACATAAGACTTGGGAGAGCTATGCACAATCCTCTTGGTAGCGCCATGTCTTGTACCTGCTTTAACAATCCACAAACTATCCAACATGCGTGGAGTGTTGTGGAGTGGCAAAGTTCCAAGTACAGATACATTAGATAGAAGGATTACGAAGGTGGCTCCGTGGCTGTGAAAAAATATGGTACACGGTACAAACCAAACACAAAATAATATTATCCCAATTTATCCCATAACTATCCGTAACATATACCAGTATACAGCCTGTACCAATACTGACGTATTCAACCTCACAAAGCTCCATATCGAGCAACCGATTCATTCAGCTGCCGTTGCAGCGCCTCGTCCGACATGTAGGCCACGTGCTGTGGAAAGGTGCGGCAAAGCAACGCAGAGGCAGTCACTGGGCCAACGCCCTGCAGCGCAGTGAGTGCCTGGCGACAAACGACAGAGATTCCACTGGGACAAGTGGGACATGCCATGGTGGACCCTAGCTATCCTGGCTATGTGGTAAAATGTAGGCCCTACAATATAGGCACTCATTGTACCAAGGAATATTCGAAAATTCCTTGGCAGTCATCTGATGACTCACTACGTTTCTAGTGCTTTTTGCATAGCCATGCTTTGGCCATCTGCATCAAAACTGAATCAACAACAAAACATGCCTCCGGCCTTGAGAGCTTTGGTGCTGCTCGGCGTCTCTGCATGCAGCAATTCGTATGCAGTCCTGAGTTATCCGCAGGTCATTTGGTCTCAGTTTTCATCCTAGCACCACTCGTAATGGTACTTTATCAGTGCCAAGACAGAGAAAGTGGAATCTGTTTGCTTTGATGGTCCAGCTGGGGATGTTGAGCACCTGCAAAGGAACAACTATATAAATCAAAGGTGTTGGCGGTGATGAATGAGAAACCCCAAGGAATACCCAGACCTTGCAAAACATGAACTGAACTTCTGCGCATGTGGCATTGTTCCTGCTAATGTGCTATCCCCACACCACCTCTTGACATCTGCATCACTTGCCTAAGCCCCTTTCAATCAGGAGTCGCAAAGCATCGTCTCACCTCCTCGTCGTTGTTGAGCTCCACTTTTTGAAGCAAACCAGGGCGGAAGGTGCCACGAGTGAGTTTCCACTCCATGACCTTCACCAAATATGCCTGCAGTGCTGCTGAGCTGCTGAGGTCTGGGCACTCGATTTGGACTGCCGCGGCATACAGGTCACGCATAGAAAAAATGACGCGACTTAATTATATAAATCTAAACACACATTAACTATCATTAACTATCATTAATTTGCAAACTACTAGTATATATCCAAAGCGTTGTAAGGTGTTGGAAGGTAATATGCAGTCCATCGCACTAAGATGACTCAGGTGGCACCGGAGGCAGCCATGTGGCACCTTGTCCTTCTTCGGTTCTGTCTTGAAAAACCAATCATCCAACGTTGTCAGCTTCGTTGGATCCTGACTCGACCCGCCAAGGGTACACTTCAGTGGATTCAGGAAGCTGTCATATCAAATATCCTTGAGGAACAAGGCGCAGCGGAAACAGAAACAAACAAAATATCAAATAACAAATCCATAGAAATCCTAAAACTTGTGCCATTGAGCCCCGAAATCTCTGGTTTGGTCCAGTTGGGCTATTGGGATGGAGCAATCGAGAGCTGCAGCCTGTGCGAGTCCTGCTTTCTATCTGCAAGCTGTCGGAGAGCTTGGCCGTAGGACTTCAATGCCTCGCAGCAAACACCCATTGGTACTCCAATGGTACGCCTTGCAATCTGGTCAACCAATGGTGGTGTTAAACAGAGCATCGTTCAAAATGATTCCTGGACCGGACCAGCTCCGATGTGAAGGCTTCGGCCTTTTCCCAAAGCTCTTTGTTTTGGCTGGCCATTAATGAGCCCGTACCAGCCATGGCACCACCAAGCACAGGCATAAGACGAGGGATCCCCAAGTCTGTATGTCGCTGGTTGTGGCTGGTGGCTCATCTAGGAATGGTTTCAAGGGAATCCACGAGTATTGCTAGTGGAAAATGCTGCTCTACAAGGCCCATGACTGAGCTAGTTGTGAGTAGGAACGCCATTGTGGGACCATCAGCGTCTCTACCAAAGAATATCGGCGACTGATTTAGCAAGTTGCACAGCGGCCAATAACATGGTGCCTTTTGCACTGTGGTAGTATGGTTGGTGCACTTATACGCTTCTCTCCCAAATACATCCAAATACCTCGCGTTCTCCGTACATTTCGGTCCCATGTCAGAAGCCAAGTTTTTTTGAGTCGGCCCTTCCTTTGATTTTGGTTTTCATGTCATGGCTGGGGTCAACCCTCAGAAATACTTTATCTGCAGACACCAGGCAGCTGATGCTGCAGGCAGTCAAAAACATGTCGAAGGTGATGCAGACATGCAGCATTCGGCCCCCAAATTAAAGGTTCCGCAATGCAACCAGGTACCATGTTCTAAATGTGTTTAGCCATGCGAATTCCTACTGAGTATCCTACAAGTAGAGCCCAAGAAATGCAAACATATCATACAAATCCAAACTATGCCCCTTTTTTACCAAGATTCAGGCAAGTCATGCCTATAGGCCTATAGGCATTCTCACAAACTCTCTAGACTCATATCCCGTCGCTTGCGATTCTCCACTATGGATTTCTATGTTGGCTGCAAAGTGGACGGATTGCAGATTGCACAGAGACTTATCTTTTTATGCAGCAGCATTGCCGTCAATGACTCAGTGATCGAAAATCGGTCCCAGAAGGGGAAAGTCCTAGCTGAAAAGAGCAGCATTGCTGGGTTCCAAAGAACACCAAGGGACCAAAAAGCTGACCAGATGGATAGATTTTAGTAATGGGTTAGTGCAACTGTGTGCAACTAGTCTGTGCAAACACACACACACACACATATATATATATATACACCATGGAAGGCCAATACCAGTACCTCTGTACATGCAGCAGTGAGGTTTCACGGCCAAACAGCAACGCGGGCAAAAATGTACACACCAACCAAGCAAAACAAAAGGGAAAACATGTTTCATCAGGTACTATCATGTACTATCATGTACCATCTACTGTAGTTAATTTGTTTCATGATGCGGCCTTCATCGTCTTTCATTGCTTAATCTATGCAAATCTGTGCCAGGCTGCACGCCTTGGCTCCAGGCTGGTTGTGTACACATGAAACACATGACTGCTTTTAGGCACTGGTATTTAGGGACACCGATCATCCTACCGTTCATGTACCTGACCCAAAGCAAGAGCTGCGCATTGTCCGTCACGCTGTGCTCCTCTGCATGTTGGGCAAGGCAAGGTCACAACTTGAGATCATGTTCACCAAGTTGAGTCTACAATCACGGCAAAGAGGTAGAAAAAACAGTGGCAAAGAACAACAATCTGGGAGTCAAAAACGACTCTGGGTACATCAGCGATTTTCCAAAATCCTTTTGTTTCCTGAAAATTCTTGAAATTTCTCTTGAAAGTATTGAAATCTCATGAAAGTAAGAGCAACACCTTGGGAGCTCGGAGCGCAGCGCCTCTAAGGCCTGCGTGCCGGGCTCTGGGAGCTTCTGGGAGCTTCTGGGAGCAGATTTCATCAGTTTGAGTGATTTTCGAAGTTCCTATCGCCAAAGATCCTACATACATCCTATAGAAGCCTATAGAATCCTATAGAATCCTATAGCAATCTTAGATGAATCTTGGGATTGTTTCCCAGGGAAGCCTTCAATTTGTTTCCCAGCAAGTCTAGATGTTTGATAGTTTTCCTTTCCAGTATTTTTTTTTGACCAGTATTGTCCTGGAAATCTTATGGAAAAACAATTCTGATCTTGCAGCAAAAAGGAAACACAAAAACCTTGAAGTTTCAACCAACATTGCATAGCATTGATCTCGATATGAACGGAACTTTGGAAAAACATGGAAACACTTCCAAATTGCATTATTCAACAGCAACGCCTATTATCGCTTTGCATAAAAGGCACTACATTTTCATGTTTGACCGCAACTTATAGCACTTGTAGCTTTCAAGTAACAACTTTTTTCAGTATAGTCGTATAATATGTAAAAAAAACAACAAATCTTTTGGGTAGATGGCCCAAATTCTTTTGCACAATTTGGCCTGGCCCACATTAAATAGGAAAACCATGGAAAACTAGCAGCATAACTGGGGTCAAATGGGGTCAACAGTCAACATGAGTTAACAATGGTAGCGTAGTATTAGTTACTAGTTGTTTCTTCGCAGCAACGAGTCTTCTCAAACTGCCCCGAAATATCTCAGAATTGCTCTCTGGGGACTGTCCACCCATTCCCAAACCTTCTGCTTCTGAGCGGAAGAACAACCTGTACTCCTCAGCAATTGAAACAGTCCAAAATGTGCACAACACCAACATGGCCGATGCTGTTGAGTTTCTTACGTCTGGTGTACCCACTTATGCATTTGGTGGGGTGTTGTTGTCTTCTGAAGAAACAAATCTTAGTGGCGGTGGCACCAAAGGACAAATATGGCCAACTATGGACAACGTCTTGTTTGACATGTGTTCCTTCGTCTGCTCAAAATAGTTCGAAATCGTTTGATTGGGGCAACCATGTTTGCATATTTGACAAGATTGCTTCAGTTCTCAAGGACTGACATTATCTGACAGTGGGTTTGTTTCTGGCACGCTATGAATTGTGTTTTCATCAAGTTCCCCCTAAGACGGGCACACCAACTTTTGATATGTACTTTGACTGCAAAAACAACCGGCCCAATTGCAACATGCTCCGAGCTTCGAAAAGACACTGGAATGCAGGAAAACCTCGGAGGCGACAATGGAATTCTAATCCCCCCAAAAGATGTTGTGAGCAATTCTGGCCCATAATTAATTATATGAAAGGATATGCAAAGTATAAATCGGCGGTAAACCTTTGCTGCCATGCCATATGTTGCATTTTTTGTTATATTTTTGATGCAACATCATTGAACGTGTAGTTAAACATGACACTCATTGAACATGATGGTCATCAAACATGACAACCACTAAGCATAAAAAAAACATAATCGCCATCATCATCCTCATCACCATCACCATCACCATCACCATCACCATCATCATCGTCATCATCATCATCATCATCATCATCGCCCGCATCAACATAATCATCATCATCATCATCATCCTCACCATCACCATCATCATCATCATCGTCACCACCACCACCACCAGCATCATCATCATCACCACCACCAGCATCATCATCATCAACAGCATCATCATCGTCATCATCATCATCATCCCCATCATCATCATCATCATCATCATCACCATCCTCATCATCATCCCCATTCATCATCATCATCATCATCATCATCCCCATCATCACCACCACCAGCATCATCATCATCAACAGCATCATCATCATCATCATCATCCCCATCATCATCATCATCATCAACAACAGCATCATCATCGTCATCCCCATCATCATCATCATCACCATCCCCATCATCATCATCATCATCATCATCATCCCCATCATCATCATCATCATCATCATCATCACAACCAGCATCATCACCACCATCATCATCACCACCATCATCATCATCCCCATCATCATCACCACCATCATCATCACCACCAGCATCATCATCACCACCAGCATCACCATCACCATCACCATCATCATCATCATCACCATCATCATCACCACCAGCATCACCATCACCATCACCATCACCATCACCATCATCATCATCGCCCTTATCAACATAATCATCATCATCATCACAATCATCATCATCATCACCATCACCATCATCATCATCATCATGATCATGAACTGACAAATCATTTCCATGCTACCTCCACACAATGCCGGCCTCCATGCCACCCTTCGCAGGGAGCAAAAGGGTGGGCCCAGCATTGGTTACGACCTGCTCACATCGACCTTCAGAGACGAATCAAACACCAGGGTCCTTTGGGTATGTGTCGACTTCAGACTCCAGGATAGAAGGAGAATAAACTCAGAAAGACAAATCCAACTCACTTTTACTCTCTCCATGTCCTTCGGGGTCACTTTTTCCTAAGAAATCTAAGAGATCCTGTGACACAAAATCACCATGAAGTGCTCTGTGAAATCAGTGGAGTCGCGGACCATTGCCAAAATCTGGCAGCTCTCTCTTGGAAGAGTTGTTGATCTGAAGAACCAGGTCACAGCCTCTCCGGTCAACGACTGTTCCACGGGCCCTTCCATGAAATTTGACAAACAAATTGACAATTTTGGCCGATCAAATGTGAAATAAATGTGATTTGTATAGATCAGAGCAGGAAATCTCCAGTACTCGCTTCTGGATGTCCGGAGCATTCTGGAGTGGCACCGGACAATGAAGCCATGGCCACTCTCTAGTGGCAGGGCTCTCAGGGAAAAACAAGACATAGCACCACAACCCGCGGACCCAACTGCAGATGCCTGATGTACTCAGGTACTCCTGCGAAAAGAAGACATGAAGCATCTCAAATTCATCGACTCATGAGCCTGGTGGAAATGTAGCTGGTGAAACAAAGTCTACATCTTCTCAAACCAAAGGCATTTAAGTTACCAGGAAAACTGGAGACTTAAATCATCCCCAGGCTTTGCTACAGAACCCAAGTGACAAGAGTAGATTCATCTATGAAGTTGGGGCCTGTTGGGGCCTGTTGGGGCCTGTTGGGGCCATGCAAAATCTGAGCAGGTGATGTCACCGAGATTGCCCGGGCAGTCCATGTAGATGTCGAAAACTTTCCTGGCAAATCTGTCAGATCATCTGGGCAGGTTTGAGAGAACAGTCATGACGGTCATGTCGAATAAGTGCGAAAAAGGAAGCGCTAGGTCGCACAGTACTTGGCGTTTAGCATCATACAGTAGCAAGACCCCATCCATCCCCATCGTTTGTTTGCGATTGTTTGCGTCATGCAATGACTTGAAATGTGGCCATGATTTTGTGAGTCGCCCACAGGAAGGTTCCAATACTTGTCTTCAAGTTCCGTCTTCGTTGGTTTGCTGCCGTACCCAGTGAATACACGATTTGATCCGAACTGACATGCAACATAGAGGCTTTGCACCCTAGATGCCATGCCAGGTGTACTTAATCTCGCAGGCACCAGTGATCAAACGCCATTGCTTCCCCCTGAAATGCGGCAGGACGTCACGTTGCAACTATGTCCTAATGTGTTTCCAACGGCGTTGTCCAACCATGACGAATGCCAGTCAAATTTTCTAATGCACTTCCGAGAACTGCCACACCTCCTGTCTCCATTGTCTCCTGTATTGAGTAGTGGTTTTGTATTTTGAATACATTGGTTTGTGTAAGGCATCTTATGATACACGCGGGTGGCACACTCAGATCTGCACCAAGTAGCATTCAAATTACTATATATAATATATATATACACACAACATTGTACACCGTCAAAATTCAAAATATGTCAAATACATATGCTAAGTCTCCCGGCAGCTTCTTTCCGCTTTCTTTGGTGGAGAGTGCCTAAGCGGCTGCTCTTGGAGAAATAGATTGTTCAAGTGTTCAAGAATTGCTGCCAACACGACAATAAGGCACTTCTCGTTGATTCACATTCTGATCTATATAATTACTAAAAACGTGCAGCCAAATGCGCCTCGTGCAATTCACTGGCGATCTCTGGCCTTTGGGGTCAGGAGCCGCTAAGGAAATGCATCTTCAGGCCAATGGTAAGTGTACAGGGCATAGCAAGTGCAGGGAATGTCCAGGTCTCAGAAAACTCGGGTACATCAGCTGTTTGACAACAGCTAAAATATTAACTAATATATAATTACACAATTCCAAATTGCATGGTTCATAACCACTTTAATATGAAAAACAGCCTTACTGCTTATTGTGCGCAGTAGGAACCAGAAACTCTCGCAGAGAATGTGCAGAACATCTGTTCAAACAATTTCAAACATAGCTTTGGTGGCTGTATGTGGCTGTAGAACTGCCAAAGCTGAATCAGCATTCCCTTTTCACCCGGCTGCCCTTGGGTCCCAAGGCAAAGAGAGGCGACGGAAGTTGTCTATCTGACATGGGCACATTGATGAAACATCAGTTGAGCATGGCAGAAAGTACGTTGATAGTTGCTTTTAGATGCTTATGGTGGATTAAACTTCCATTCGTGAGGGCTTTGTCCATTTGGACGGCTAAGAGCCATCAGTCAGCCATGATTGGCATGATCATCAAGGCTGTGGCCAATGCTTGGCATGTGATCAATGTGAAGACGTAGAAGAGGTTGAAGAGGCCAAAATAGGAAACTGGTTAAAAAATCTAAAGTTGTTTAATGTTGTTTATGGGATCAAAATGGGAGGGACTCAATTCGCTGAAGAAAAAAAGCTTGAGGACTGCGTAAAGTCAAGCACCCATAAGAAAGGGCTTATGCAAAACACGTTCCTAACCTAGTCTTTGTATGTCTTTGTGGCATTTCTACATGTTTCTGACGACTCAACATCTCAACTCTAATCTGTCACCCCGTCAATCACATGGCCAACCTTGACCATGAAGAGTACCAATCCACTGCCCAATAGCCTAGGCCATAAAGCGGGTGAAGATTCTCGAGAAACCCAAGCACCAGTGAAACCGGAAACAGCTGTGCCAAATCAGAGAGGAAAGTAGATCACAATGGACCAAATTTCAAGGCCATTGTGTGCCCTGCTGGTTTGCTGGCAAACCGACACTTTTTCGAGGGTCCTGGAGCAGCACGAAAAGCGGCTTGCAATGATTGCCATGGTGCAAAGATTTTGTCGATCAAGCTGTGAGAGCACACTGTTGCTGACATCGGCGTATCATCAAATATAGTTATTGAATGTTATTGAGTGTTATTGCTGTACTTCTATGAGCTATTGACTGAATAATTGCATTCGAACAAAGACTGAGGTCATGAAACAGGGCAATGGCGAGTTTGAATGAAAAAGGCATTTCCTGCGATTCTTATAGGAATTTCTGGTCTCGAAATAATTTCGCCACAGCAACTATTACCATGAGACAAAGTCCTTCAAGAACAAGTGATCAGGCCCATACTGGCATCAACCACTGCAATCCGCAAAAGGTCTGCCTTTTATGGACATCTCCAGACTGACCACAGCTGACCAGGTTTCCGGTCCAGGAAGAAAACCACCTTGCAAGCACCTTTGGCCGTAGGAGACCTTGTTCAAATTTCAGCAGAATCTCTGGGACTTTTGCAGAGGAAAACCGCTGCTACAGTATCCCCTTTGCACTTGTTACAAGGATTGAAGCGAATCACTGGAGATGGCCCCAATTCTTGATCAAAATTGATCAAATCAAGCTTCTTAGATTCTTGGTCTTTCTTGGTCTTTCGGTCTTTCTTGGTATCCCATATCCCCCAATATCATCCAATACCCTACAGCTGGGCCATGCTGGGCCCTAAACACGAGCTGCTGGCCCAGGGTGTGGATCCTGAGAGGCCATGGAAAACCCTTGTTGCAGGTTGAAACCAGAAAGTCTTGCTTCAACCTCATCAATCATCTGAATCATCTGTACGTGTTGGGGTTAATTTTAATGATTATTACTAATTATTACAGTCCAATATATGTTCATTATCTTCTTCAGTCTAAGGGCCGTTCGAAATATGTGCAGGCCAAGTTCTGTATATTCTCAGTGATGCCCTAGAATTTATGCACCCTGACACTCTCACGTCTCACGCTCATTCAAACCTCAAAATGATACCAAAACGCTGCACTTCACTGCAATGAACTTGGCTGGCATCCACAGGCTTGAACGAACCAAATCCACAACCATATCTCACGGCTTCTTAGGTGATCTTAGGTGTATCTTCATCATGAGAATCTCATGAGCATCATTTGCGTTGTCTTTTTCCTACAGATCGCTACAGTGCAGTGACAGTGCAGATTGTTTGTCACAAATGAGTACTCACCACGCCAGGGCTCATATAGGCAACAAAAGCCTCTTGAGTAGAGACCTCAACATTCACAGCTACCAAGGCTAAGCAATGGATCATTGCCAAACGAGCCAATGTAGTCAGTGTAGCAGTGTAACTGCTTTTTCGGATCTTTATGATCTTTATGTTGTTTTTGCATAGAAAAAAAAACTGTGATTCCTTTGTTTCCCAAGTTTTTGCTGGCAGGATCTCGGATCAAACCATGATCATGATCAACATTTGAGAAGATTGACATATTCGTTGGTCAAATATCTATGGCCAATCTGATTTTCAAGTGGCGAAGGCTGTCATTGTGCCACGTCACCCAATTGTCTTTGCCAGGCTCAACAGTCTTTGGCGTGGCAAAGCTCTTCAACGCCGCCAACTGATACCAATGAGCATGCTTGTCTCTGTATGTGGGGTGGTGGCGTACTTACCAGTGAATTCAGACTTACCACCAGGCAGTTTCTGATTCGAAGCAGGTTAGAGTTGACAAGAAGGTCTAGCATAAGCCTGTAGGGGAAGACTGGCACAGATTAATTAATAACTTAATATTAAATTAAACGCTTCAACATTTGTTTTTGGTCCGGAGGGCAATATGTGGCAACAACACACATCACATGAGGTTGAAAATGGTTGAAATCAGAAGCTTGCCTCCGCATCAGCGAAGAAAAGGCGGTCTCGATACAAACCTCAAATACAGGCTGCTGATGATTTAGTGATCAGTATCTTGCCAGGGGATGCCAGGGGATGCCAGGGGTGCATTTTCTTAGTCTGCGAATGTCTGCGAAAGGAAAACTTACTCTTCCTCGCGAGAGTTCAAAGAAAAGGTTTGCGGATCTTTTTCAGTTTTGGCCAGGTTTGCTACCACCGTGTTTTCTTCTCAGATATGATGCTGGTAAACCTATCCACCTATCCCCACTTTGGTTTAGTTAGTTCACTTTGAACTGTGGGTCAGTGGTGGTATCTTCAAAGTGCAAGTTAGCACGGGCGTTTTTGCCAATCAACCTTGCAGATCAAAAGGCAATTTTTCCTCTACGGCCAAAGTAGATTCATTTGGGATAACTGAGAACAACCGAGAATTGGCTTGAACTAATTGATTGATGCCTCGCAGCAACAACTTACTACATTTTACTACATGTTCTTTTTTTCTTTCGAGCCACAAACCTTCTTGGTGACCACGGACTTTCTATTTCGAACCCATACACCTTTCTTAGTGTAATTTGGACCAGTGATCAAAACATTGATCTTCAGGAAAACCCAGGTATCAAGTTGCTGACTCGTCCTCGATGTCATGAAACTCGTGTTCTAATGGATATCGAAAATGAATGTTATTGAAGGAGGCTTTTGCTAACGCACCATGTGTTGAAGTCACCAGGCTCAACATGCTGCGGAGCAGAAATAATTGCATGTGATGCAATTCCATGTGACATCCACGAAATCACCAATGTGTCACCCAGGTTTCCAAGCCAACCCCGGCATTCCGGAAGAGCGCATCATAAGTAGATGAAAACAGAACCATCGTGGCCTTCATTACCTCACAGGATCGCATCAGATAGGGCAAGGTATGGCAAGGTTCAGATGCAAACTCTGTAGTAATGCTTTGTCTAGTCTCCAGGCACATGAAGGAATGCAGTTTATACATGTTTATACCACGCTTTCTAGAAACTGTTTGGATTTGATATGATTTGATCGTGTGATATCGTGTGTGGAGTGTGGAATGGCTTGTAACAAAATGTGCACCATGACATGAGTACAATTGTGTTTATGTGACAAGTTGAAGTGTTGAGGTCCTCTGACCCAAAAACCCAACCTACCCAAAATGCCAAAAACGAAGGGTACGGCTATCTAAGGCTGCAACCACATTCAATGGAGACCACTTGAGGCGCCTCCACAAGGAGGGCCAAGCCACTTGTGGTTGGAGATGTATGAGATGCTGTAGCTGCACATCTCATCTCACCATCTCACCATCTCACCATCTCACCATCTCAGACCAACTTGCGCTTGTCCCTCCCCGAACCGCTGGGCACCTGCCATTTAACTGCAATGCTATCTGCTGTGTCTCCTCCTCATCAGGAACTAATGCAATGGCCTCGTGTCACAGCTACTGCGTAGCTTGGCGGGCAAAACGAGAATCGCATGACTGCGTTGACTGCGTCTTCTCTTGTGGGATCTTTGCATTCTCTGCGTGACAAAGCGCAGGGAACAAATTTGAGCAAAGCAGCACTAATTAGTCAAGCACATGGACGCAACAGAAAAAGCGACACACACATGGCAAGACACTCACCTTTCGTCCTACTCACCATACAAGTTCAGATGAATAGCATTCATATAATAGCCCTCCTACTCGTGCAGTACAAAATATTCTGTGAACCCGCAGTGATTTAGAACTTCTGGACTCCATCTGACTGCTCACCACTTCCCAACTCTGTTGCCCTGCCTGATCCTTGTCCCAGATTGGTGGCTTTGGCTCCTCTAGTGACTCTAGGGCAGAAGTGATCAGACAGCTTCAGCACAGAAATCCCAATCCTTGATATACGATTGTTGGACAAACAACAAATAAAACCAACAGCAGGGGGAACAATAGGGGGAAGCGGCAAAAAAAATGTGGAATGCGACCACAGCATTCAGACAAATTCAGACAACAGCTTCAAATAGTTTCACACCCAAAAGGATGAAGACTTCGAGCTCCTGACCCCTAGCCAGAGCTGACCTGCAAGCTGGCGCACGGATTGGTGACACCCACGCAAACAAAATTCTCAAGAAACTAATGATGTGTTACCAAGGTGAACAGGCTCGCAAGAATGACTGGTTGGAGGTGTCATAGGTCATGTCATGGACACGGCCTGCTCAGAAATAACTCAGAACTCGATATCATGGTCACTTTGAAATTTGATGAAACTTGATTTCTTGAAATCATTTCAAATAATCTTGATAAATAGTTGACAACTGATGATTCACAACTTGTGATCAATAGATCACCAGCAACAGCGTGGCTTCGAGGCTCCGACCAGTAGGCGACGAAAGTCCAGGCCGATGTGCCGTCGAACAACATATGTGAGCGACACCTGGGTCGAGTGGTCTGCCAGTAGTCTGAAGGCATTTGGTCACTTCATGTCACCACCATCTCTGGGCTGAGTCATAGCAGTCATAGCTGGCAATTGGCTGATTCATTATGTTTTTGAAGAAAACCTTCTCCCGGCTCCATGCAGCAGAAATCAAACATATGACCACCTGCACGGTTCAACTTCTCATTCCATCTAGGGACACAAGAGATAGGTTCCGCACATGTTATGTAATATTCTGTAGCAGTGGTTTCCTTATGTTTCCTTCAGAAAGCATGAGGACTTAATATGCAAGGAATATCAGTGGTCGGAAAGGCTTTTCGAATCACCATGGCCCATATCTGATCGTCCCTGGGACATCCTGGGACCCTTCTGGGGCCCAAAACATACAAAGAACGCCACTTCCATCCTGGAACTTGGTCAGTTTCACCGTCATCCTGGGATGAGCCACACAGCAGCAACAACAGCAGCACTGTTTGTTTTTACTATGTTTTTTGGGAATCAAGTTGCCATCTGCCATGTTCAGGTCCACGACTCGATTGACATCTTGATCTGTTGTGGATATCATCGGATATCATCAGATTGACACGACTTGGTGCCAATCATAAATTCATGAACTATAGCTGCATCATGCTGCATCTACTTTCTGAGCATTTAATAAGTCACCTGCCAAGATGACTAAGTCACTGGGCTTCCAAGCACTGGAGCTTTCCCCTTGTAGACCGTAGCTGGCCGGAGAGCAGGAAGGTGCGAATCCAACATGACGCATGGAATCAGGAATTCAGTACCAAATTCTATGGTACCAGACCAAGTGTGGAAATGGTGAAAATGTCGACAAGTTATATGTTTATATTTATATTATATGTTGGCATAAGTTGGCATATTTTGGCAATTTTGGATATTATTTATATATATATAATATATATAATAATAATATAATAATTATATATTCCAAATTATACTCACACGTCTCCGCACCCACTGTATGACAAAAAACAACCCCACAGCGCCTGGGTTTGGGAAGTCAGCGAAATCCAACAGCTGCACCTCCTGGCCGTGGCAAGCTGACTCTCGGGTGTTGGCCTGGTGTGACAAGGATTACATGTCGGCTGAAAAACATGGTTGACAGGAGTTCAACATCATTCAATGGATTGGTTTAAGGGAAAATCTACAGGAAACCATGGTTTTTACCATCAAATATAGGGTTTTCCTGTAAATTTTCCCATCATCCAATCTATGAATCATGCTGAAAAACATGAAGATCATATTTTTTTGACATGTGAGTCGCAGTCAATCAAAAACACGTCTGCATGAACCAAGAAGAACATGTCGCTAGCCTCAACTTGAGAAGAACATGGTAGAATATAATGAGGATGACCGAGGTGCTTTCCCTTCAGTTTCACCCAGGCCGAACCTCGATCGACTTTCTGTTGCAAGTTGCGCAAACATGCTAAAGCGGGAGAAATATCAACATCCAAGATTTTGGAACCTGATTCATTCTGCATAGCTGTTTTGATCCTCACTCTTCCGACATACTTGCAAGAACAAAAACAACTTATGGCACAATCTTGAAATGCATGAGCATGAGTCGGTCTATATTAAATGCGGACGTCACAGTCCTCTAATCTTTCGGGCGCGCGCTTCTCATTGCTTGAGACAACCTATTGCCATATGGTCAGGGGTGGTGCGCATTTTGAGTCTCCCTCCGACTAAATTCAAGAAGTTGCATATATCATACATCAGTGCCATGGATGCAAGGCCAGCTCGCATTGACGCGCTTCAATATCTTCAATGTATGCAGTCACTCATCTTGCATTTTTTGAATGTGTATCAACGAATGACAGGTACAACAATCCTGGCAATGAGATGGACAATGGGGACTGCATTCTGAACACATATAAAGCTGAAACAACTCAACGGAATGTCAAACAACCTCGCATTCGTTGGAACATGAACATGATGATCTGCCAAAAAACAGCCAGGATATACTGGTTTAGGACCCTCAAATCCACCACTTCATGTCTGATACATAAGGAGGGCAAACCACAGTTTGGCACATCCAAGACGTTTGAACTACACGTCATGATTGCTGATTACTTCTGAACGAACCACCATTGTCACCACACGGGGTTATACAACTCGGGCAGCATGTCATGTGGCCCTGGTCGCCACTTGGAAAGTGCCATGCTGGACAACACTAGTAACCACGGTGGCATGGTACAACTTGATCGGTACACATTAAGATATGATCTACACTTCCAGGTTTGAAGACACTGGAAATGGATCTCAATGGTGTTGCCGAGTGCTAGCAACTTCGAGCAATTGAGTGAGTTCAATGAGATAAAGGATATTAAAGGGTCATATCTTCCTCGACTAAACTCTCTGCTCTTACAACAGTTTGCTGCTGAACATGCCACTTAAACTATCATACACCATCGGCGACTGTTCCTTGAGGTTCAATTCAAGTGTAATCAAATGATATATATATATATTACATAATTATTGATGATTTCATTACATTGCGCACTGCGAATATGGACCGCGTTTCGAGCAGAACCAAAGCCCAGTATGACCAGAACTCCCTTGGCGACCCGAAATGGTACACCAGCACCATTGAGCTGTAGCCCTCTGCCTGAGCCAAAAACCGGAGCATCTCTTCCACCAAGTCATGGATCGGTCCAAATCCAGGACTGAAACTATAATGCTACGTATTGATTATCATATTGCTATACTATACAAAATGTATCAAAATGTAGCAGGAAAATCCAAATGTCAAGTGGTCTTCCCTTCTTTTTGATACTTTTTTATGTTACAATCTCCGAAGGGTGGCGTTGACAAGGACGACTTTGGCAAACTGGAAATGAGAGACAGGAAATGTAATGAGCCAACAAGCAGTATATCTCAGCCAGGACATAAAATCTAAGAAAAAACACACACAAACAAACAATATATAATACATATTTGAATCTCTTGAACTCATTCTGTAAAGTGGGCTGATACAAAGCTCGCCCCGGTCTCATGATCTTTGCTGAGGTTGCTACCGTTCTGACCTCAAAAGCTGCCGGAGCCCACAATTGCCAAAATTCATGGAACGCAGTTTTCCACAATTCAAGGTTTTTTACTTTTTTGCACAGCAAACACGTGTGATTTCATGTGATACCCTTGCACTTTGAAACTAAACACATACATTCCACAGAAACCTAGCAGATCAGAAGCTGTCCGAAATCGACCTGCTGCCAAGGCACAAAAGCGGCCTGCAGCAGTGGGCACAGCCTGGGACACAGAATTCTCAATCTGAGCATGCTGTCAACGACATCAATGACATGAAGGCTCATGCTGCGCAAGACGCAACCCAGAAACATGTCTTCTAGTTTTTTTCCTTCACACATTTTTTTTCAATCTCATCACGTGCCCAAATGTTGTGAAACTGAGTATCTAAGTGGTGCAGTGGACCTTGTTACATCTTATTACAAAGATTTGAAACTGTGAGCGTCTCATGCTAACGGCTTAGGGCCTGGAGCGCTTTTGCGAGTGAAGACTTCAACGTCTGTTCGTCAGCTTTCGGCAAGACCATGGCAATGGCCTCGCTGATCAGGTGGATGGTGGATTGTATTCAATGTATTCATTGTATTTATATAATTCATTATAATTCAATGTATTCTGCATGGGACAAATTTTGACACTTGAACTGTCCACTCACTTCTTTTTTCGTCGGGCCGAACTCCTTTGACAATCATGCGTCAGGTATTCGGGCGACCAAGTGAAGTTAAGCATATATGTCTTGATTGAAATATACCTGTACCTGCACTGTACCTGAAATGAAAAACGTGAACTTTATTCACCAACTCACAACATTTTGTCACGTACACCCCTTCTCATCTGAGCATATCTGCATCATGTCATCCACCATAGTTGCTGTCTAAGCCTTCCTCAACGGCCACTGTGCTGTTTCTGACTTCTGCCCTCCAAGAGGGGCAGCCCCTGCTCAGGTGCTGGCGGGGTAAGACGCCATGGCCAAAGGGCCCCAACCAAAGCCATTCTGCGATGCCGAAACGCACACGAGGAATCGAAGATGCTTTGGAAACGATGGCGAGGCACACCGAACCCAAAACAAAAGATGCACTCTACTAGGCAGTGTTTGAAATTAGCTGCACTAGCCAAGCAGAACGTGGTTATAGCCTAAACTTTCATGAGAGAAGTGACGTTTAAAATCCAGCGGAATTTTGAATTTTCTTGCTGACTTTTACCATGTCTGGCAAGCATCATATATGAGGAGTTGTTACATGTGGATCGCTGGTAATTGCATGTGGAAGCGAAAAAAAAGTGGCGCACCGGTCTCCCAAGGACCATCTTCCGCCTCGCCCTCCAGAACTCTTATGATATTGGCGTTCTCACCACATCCGGAGCAGCAGGGAGTTGGAGATGTCGAACCTTTACAGAGAGAGTTAGGAAAAACTGCGTCCAATCTGTTCAGAGTTCAAATCACCAGTAATCTTCATTGTCTTTAAAGCACCATAGGGTTTAGCGCCACGTCCACTCACAGCAGGCTGGCACAAGGAAGAACCACAATCGGAGAAAAGCTGTCTGTGAGAACCTTCAATCAAACTCCAATGGCTATTCAAAATATACAAATCTATTGCAGCAGTTCACAGTTCACAAGGTTTTGAAACTGAAGAAACAAATAGAAACAATAGTTACTGTCAGTTACTGTAATAGAACGACTCAAAATGAAACCTGGGTATCTACACCATACACTACAGACAAATCGAAATCCATGGCCTGGACGGATGATTTCCACACTGGAAGGGGAGGCGCTCCCCCAAATGCCTACAGCATCCGCGTGATGTGTTGGTACTGCATCTCCATTCTTCAAAATACCGGTAGAACAAACTCAATGCAGCCAAACTGTTGGAAAATCAAATGTACTCATAGGTCTGCCAAACAGCAAACACTAGCAACCCCTTTCATATAATCGAAATTCCAGCACCGGTGATTTCTAACTGAGCACCTATTGAAGGTCCTCCCGACTGCCTTCCCCGCAACAGGAGACCATGCTGGTCCTGACACGTGGGAAGTTGAAACGTCACTCATGGTGCAGCTCCGGCTTTGACCAGATGCACTGCAAACATAACACTAAACAAAGATTTGTCAAAACAACAATTGTTGGCCAAACTTTGATCATACATACATATATATATACATATACATATATAATAATCATATATATATACACATATTAATATGGATTGCCATACTAGCTCTGACACTTTCAATATACCACCGGAAAAGGAGAACACCTTGGGATGTGTGTCCGATGAGTTCATGCAAACAAGGTGACAGCGTCAAGTAAGATCCCTGAGAATCTGACAAGGCGAGCCGTCGGAAGTGCCCTATGCACTTCTTGCTAAGGGCAGAATGATTTCAGAAACACGTATGAAGAGCTGCTGGCATTTCATAGAAACAATTGATTGCACAAGAATTGTTTGCGTAAGCACGGTGATCTATGCGCAAGAACGAAATCATGTGATGTCATGATCATGTGCTGTCTATGTTTTCTGGAGCCGGCGTGGCAAACTTCAAACCCCCCAACCTCAGCAGTTACAGCAAGCATTAAATCCATCCAGCACTCAGTGTGCAAGTTAAGGAAGAGCAGGCGGAGTTGGGCATCAAGTGATATCCACACAACACAGGCACTCTCTGATACTCTCATCAGCTGGATCTTTGACTCTTTGCAAGTTCCCTTTGCCCTGCAAGCAAAACATGCTTCAACCAGGCAGTGGATGACCGATGCATCAAGGGCATGTCGATCAAGAAAGCTGACACGTCATCAACAAAGGTGCTCATCGCCTCTCTGGTGGCAAGTAGCTCCCTGTGGAAGATTGTGGAAGTAGAAAAGAAAGTCTGGGTGGTTCATTTGCGTTAATTTGCCTCACATCTTTGGCAAAATACCGGTCACATACCCATGAAGCACTTCACAACACTGTCAGTGGTGCAGAAACATCATAATTCATCAGCATTGCTGCAGCAATTTGTCCTCCTAACCAACAACCCCCCCAGTCAAAACTAGACGCATAAAATAGCATAAACATATATAGTATACCAGTTTATACAAGATTATACAAGCATCTGTACACTCCCCAAGACCCCACTTCTTCAACGTCTCAAACCGAGGTACCTTGTAGGTCAATGCTTTCCACCTGAGGACATCCACCACCAGCAACAGCTTCTGAATGGAGCGAGGGAACGGTTGTATTCCGTATAGATGTCCACATCGGTGATCTCTGCTATCCACGCGTGTCCGTGTCCAAAATTCTCTGTGCTATGCCACTGCTATTGCTTTGTTCAGGGCCTGGATGAATCCTGAGAGTCCCCACGGCATATGCTCCACGGACTGAAGCTTGTAGTTGATGTACAACTGTCCAACATTGTCCAACAGGGTATGCCCGGGTATGCCAAATATGCCAATAGGGCAAAGCACAACAAGGACTGGCTATGGGTCAGAGGCAAGCATACCCAAATTGGGGACAATTGATAGAAGGCCGCAGGAAAAGTGTGTCTACAAAGGCCAATAATTCTTCTTGCACCGCCCAGGCAGCTAGGTGATGCTCCTGCTGTCCCAGCCTGTGGAGTCATCATCACAAAGCCTCAGCAAGGAGTTTCTGAGATGTCTGAGGCACATCCTTTGCAAATTTGACTCGCTTCAAAACCCCAACCCTTGGACCCTTTCCCAATGGAAAGCCTGGTTTGATAATGGCTGACAATTAGGGGTGGCTTGTTAATTATTCTATAAATGGATATCTTGCAGTGTTGGATATTCCATTTTCATCCATATTCTATAGAGACCCTATGCTAGAACTAGTATGCTTTGTGTCCCCTACTAAGTGGTTAATGTGAGTTTTTTTTTTTGCATTGGTCCTTTCCACTCTTTGGTGGTCTAGACTTCCCTTTACACTTCTTGCAAGTGCGGAGCGGCCAACGCCTTTGTGTGGCATGCACTGAAGAGTTTACATTAAGGAGGAATTGAGCGGGGATCCCGCCAAGGTGACGTGGCTTAGCGTTCCTGAAGTTCCTGTTTTCGTCGCACAACATGCTCCATGAGGAATACATTGAAGCTATCAACAAACATGTAACCGATTCAGAAGGATTTGTAGCGCGCATGAGATTTGAAATCGCTGGAGTTGGAAAATTAGAGCTTCAGAGTACAGCAGGTTAGGGAGTTTCCAGACATCCAGACTAGATGTTAGATTTTGTTTTGTAATCTCTGACGAAGACCAGTGAAAGACCTGCCTCATGACGATGTGTGAGTAAGTCTTTGATTACCCAGATGCACTTCTCTTCCATCATTGGTTGAGTACATTGGGCAAGTGATGGCAAGTGAGATGCAACTGCGAAAGTAGTTGTTCTGGGAATACCATGCCATACATCATACCATACACCATACCATACACCATACCATACCATGGGCAACTTTGACTGTTGGCGCTGGTGGCAGCTGAGATTGAAACCAAAGGTGTAAACTCCTCCAGCTGCAGTGTTGATGATGAAGGTGTACCAGCCACGATGCTGACGCAGCGTTCAAACAAAGGAACTGTCAATGCAAACAGTGACATCCACTCACAAATCACATTGCACTGTTCTGCATGATGAAATAGACACGATCTTGCCAAAGGTCCGTTCTCATATATACTAGTACAAGTATCTTCTGAAGCTGTGAAATTAAATGAAATTAAGCACATTTGGGTTAGTACAGATGCAAGCACTAGCCATGTGGGTACTTAAGGTGGCTCAGAATTATTCTATGCGGCAAAAGCTGACACCCGAAACTGTCGACTTCGTAGATTTTTGCGCAGAAGTAATCTCATGGTCGAAGCTGAGGGCTAGCCGAACTGTAGGTGTCAATTTGAATGAGGACTGGCAGGCATTCGCCCACAATACTACAAGAAACGAACTCATGATTACTTACAGGCAGGTATGAAAAAAGGGATCAAAGTTCTGCGATGTTCTGCGCATATCTCCTTGAACCTCAATGACAAACTCGCAAACAATGCTGCCAGCCACTTGCAAATTGATTGCGCAGGGTATTGTTGTGAGATTTGGCGAAAACGTGAAACAATTGCGCTCTGTTGCTCAACAATACCCAGAGGAAAACATTGTGGATTTGGGCCAGTCACTAGAGCCTCCCTTTAGGAGGTGTCTGTGTCCCTTGCGCGGCAGCAAGCAGACTGGAAGAGAGTGGCAACTTCTGGTCATGCGAAGACATAGAGGTTTGCTTTATTCCAGCTACCAAAAAGCATGATCATTCAAAGGTCTTGCATATACGTTAGGGATCGTTAGGGTGTGTCATCATCACTCAATTTAAACCTTATAGATACAGATGATCGGATTACTACCAAGTGCCATTAAATACACACACATGATAGTATTGAAAGCAAGTGTCATTGAGATATTGAATTCATGTATCCCGCTATCATACGCCATGAACTGCAACTCAGAATATAACTTTAACAGTTCTGAGCTCGTGTGCTGGCCTCCCACGTCTGCAGCTTAAGTGATCTCTCAGCGCAGAATTTCACGTGAAGGCAGCCTCCGACATAGAAATCGAGAGCAGACTGCGTACTGAAGTGGTCTAAATGATTTAAATGTGGTTTAAGCTCAGAACGCTGGGAGACAACCATGAGCAGTCTCTTGACACATGCTGTTTATCTCTCACATGTATTTCCATTATTTGACCTCTTGTGGGCACAGCGAGCATAGCAAACTTTTGACACTTTGTTCAAGTCTGCATGTCTTTGGCTCAGTCGCTACAGTATCGTATATTTGCTTGAACATTTCAAAAGGACTGAAGTTCTGATGGCGGCTTTCTCGCACCATCGAAGACATTGCAAGCAAAAAATACGACTCTGTCTGCCCGCAGAAAGATAGTGAAACGAGGGTTGCAAACGGCAGTTGGTCAGTTTGAACCATCTGAGTCTTCTGTGTCAGTACCAGAATCACTTTCGGATGTGCTCATTGATCTTGTTGAAGCCCTGAAGCGCTGCTGTCTCAAACTTCGGAGCCGGTGATCTACAGAGCATTTCATGACTCTGCATGCAGTACAAAGTAATAGAACAAACCAACATCATCCTATCATCCAGAATAATGGATACTGGCTGATACTGGAATGAAATTCACACCATGAATCATCCGAAAGATTTTGTGAGAGTCCCAAGTCCCAATATGCCCCTGCTGTTCATCTGCCCACAACCTGCTTGGGCACCAAGCACCACGCTGTAGAAAGATTTGTACAAGGCATCGGCCGCCGGGTAAGGACAATGTGCCTGTGATTCCTAAGCGATGCTGGACCCTAACCAAGTCTAGGCAACACCACCAGCGACGCCTACTCAATGACAGGAACATACAGATCATACAGGAACCAAATCACACGAAGAGGGTCCAGCGAAAACGAGTGCTGCGTCTGACAGTCGCTGTAGATGGAAATTAAAAGAACAGACTCCGGAGAAGACAGACTGCCCTGAAGACAAAGGGAGGCTGTAGAATAATAACCACGCATTCCATGCTTCCTAGGTATCCTGCAATTACCCTCCATGGTGCAACAACACTGTCATGTCTCTTGACCTTCAGTCTCTGACCCCTCCACCAATGTCTGTTAGGACTTTCTTGGACATACACTTCGGCTTTCAGGCATTTGGCTCTCGAAACTTATCCGTTCTCCACAAGGTGATCAACCAACCCCTTGCTGTTTGGGGACATAGCTCCCTACATCCTGGGCAGAACATGTCTGCCAACAGGGCTGCATTTGGTTCAACAAGTTTCCCAAGCAAGCAAAAACCACCGCCAGAATGAGCGCCATATTGAAGCCTCGGTGTCAAGAGCAAACAGGAAACAACATACCGTTGGTGGGAAGAAGCTCACCTTATCGACCATGATATCTCAATCAACCTGATGTGTAGTGGTGCCCTGATTGCTTTCGTGCCTTGAGTGTTTCCTCAACTATACTCTAATATGTTGAAAGATGTTGAAAGTCATAATTAGCATCATATCTCATGATTGCACACATCCTGCTGGTGACAGCAATTGTGTCCATGATAGTTATTTCCGGTCATCAAACCCACGTTGCCACTTTACTTTGCTCAAATCAATTTCCACATGTTCGGTCATTTAGATCGGCTCCAACTCCTAAGCAGTTTGTTGGTACCTGCCAGACTCCCAAACGAACCAGATCCCACACCAAAATACAGGATTAAACTGTGCCGACCGATGATTGGTGCTTCTTCTGAACACTTCACAGATTGAACAAACAACTGATCAAGGCTGGATGTGCCTCCAGCAATGCACATGAAGGTAGTCACCAGTTGTCTGCAGGCCAGAAACACATAAACGTTGCAATGCTCATAGTTTTTGCTGCGGTTTCGTAATGTAGGCCAACCAACACACCAACAGTCCTGAGGATTCCAGGGTTTGGGAAGATCCGCTGCGTCTACTTCGATCAGGTTGTTACATGCACTGTACATATTACGCCAAGACATGTCAACTCAGCCCAGGCCGACAGGTGCAAGCGACAGAACAGTGGGGAAGAAAACTGCGCCGACCAACTTGGTGAGGACTTTCAGCATGAAACATATCCTTGGTTTCATGGACAACATATGGACAACATGGATGCATGTGGAACAGTATGTGGAACAGTATGTGGAACAGTATGTGGAACAGTATGTGGAACAGGATGTGGAACAGTATGTGGAACAATATGTGGAACAGTGGGGTGGTCATCACATGTGTCAAGATCACAAGCTCAATGAATGAATGGATGCCACTCTAATAGGCACAGTTCATGATCACTTGACTCTGAACAACTGCAGAGTTGTGGTAACACAGGATGAAAAATGGAAATAGTCAGCCCTCCCTCGAAGAATCAACAAAAATTTTAAGATGGTTCTTCTCTGTTCAAGAGAAACACATCCTATTCGAAGGAAGTTTAGAAGTCAAACTTCCGACAATATGGACAGATGAAAAGCAGAGCAGGGAAGAGGCAGAGAGAAGAGAAAGATTAGAAGAAAGAAGAATAGAAGAGTAGAAGAGAAAGAGTAAGCAAGAAGAAAGAAGATGCAGATGCGCGAAAATGTAGGAAAGTCGCGAAACACTGTGTTTTTCCAATGATTTGGGGCTCCGGAGGGTCGAAAAGTAAGTTCGCTAAAGCGGCGGGTGCGGAGCCAGCTGGCCAAATGAGAGATGAAAAATTGCACGCCGTTGTGGCGCGAAGCACATTTGCAAGTCAAAATGTACAAAACACCTCAGCTTCGGACCACTTTTGGAAGTTGCGATGTCGAAAAAGTGCACGCCGTTGTGGCGCGAAGCGTATTTCCAAGTCAAAATGTACAAAACACAACAGGTTCGGACCACTTTTGGAAGTTGAGATGTCGAAAAAGTGCACGCCGTTGTGGCGCGAAGCACATTTCCAAGTGAAAATGTACAAAGCACCTCAGCTTCGGACCACTTTTGGAAGTTGCGATGTCGAAAAAGCGCACGCCGTTGTGGCGCGAAGCACATTTCCAAGTCAAAATGTACAAAGCACAACATGTACGCGCCACTTTTGGAAGTTCGGATGTTGAAAAAGTGCACGCCGTTGTGGCGCGAAGCGCATTTCGAAGTCAAAATGTTAAAAACACCAGGGGTTCGGACCACTTTTGGAGGTTCAGATGTCGCTTCGCTTCACTACACTGCACTACATTACACTACACTACACTCCACTACACTACGCTCCACTACACTACACTACATTACACAACACTACAACTACAACTACACAACTACACTCCACTACACTCCACTACACTAAATTACACTACAGTACACTACATTACACTACACTACACTCCACTACACTACATTACACTACACTGCACTACCTTCCACTACACTTCACTACATTACACTACACTCCACTACACTA